AGCTGCTGCCAATTACCATAGACTATACTGCCCTGATGGACCAATGACCTGACTCCATATAAGGCAGGCTCATGTATGTGATATGTTCCATTTCAAGTTCCATCAGTAAAAAAACCTATATGAATTGTGCCAACACTGGTTGTTGCACCCACCCATAACCCAAGTGGTCTAACCCACTGTGCCATGGAAGTTTGCTAGGTGACCTTGGGCCATTCACATCATACACAGGGTTATGATAAAATGGAGGACAGGAAAATGATGAAAGCTGCTTTAGATCCCTGTTGGGGAGAAATGCAGGTATAAATGAGTAAGCAAATAGAAATCTGTAAATGGGTCCCAAATCGAAAGATGAGAAACTCTAGTCAAGACACATAAGCTTATGCTAAAATAAACTCTTAAGTCTCTAAGGTGCCCATGGACTCCTCTTATGTTTCTACAAACAGTCACTGCTACCAATATGAAATTTTCATTGAGAAAGAGGTCTTGTATTCTATAGGAAAGCAAATATTTTAGCATATGTATACTTACTAGAAAAACATCTACTTCTGCTTCGTTGACTATACTAAAGCCTTTGATTGTGTGGATCACAACAAACTGTGGCAAGTGCTTAAAGAGATGGGAGTACCAGACCACCTCACATGTCTCCTAAGAAACCTGTATAAGGGTCAAGAAGCGACAGTTAGAACCGGATATGGAACAACTGATTGGTTCAGCATAGGAAAAGGAGTACGACAAGGATGTATATTGTCACCTTGCTTATTTAATATATATGCAGAGTACATCATGCGAAATGCTAGCCTGGATGAATCACAAGCCGGAATTAAGATTGCTGGGGAAAAGATCAACAACCTCAGATATGCAGATGATACCACTCCAATGGCAGAAAGTGAAGAGGCCCTAAAGAGCTTCTTGCTCAGAGTAAAAGAGGAGAGCGCAAAAGTTGGCTTGAACTCAACATAAAAAACCCGAAGATCATGACATCCAGCCCCATCACTCCTTGGCAAATAGAAGGGGAAGTCATAGAAGCAGTGACAGACTTCATATTCTTGGGATCCAAGATCACTGCAGATGGTGACTGCAGCGATTAAATTAAAAGACGCCTGCTCCTTGGGAGGAAAGCAATGAGAAACCTAGGCAGCATAATAAAAAGGAGAGACATCACCCTGCCAACAAAAGTCCGTATGGTCAAAGCAATGGTATTCCCAGTAGTAATGTATGGCTGCGAGAATTGGACAATAAAGGTCAAGCGCCGAAGAATAGATGCTTTTGAATTATGGTGCTGGAGAAGACTCTTGAGAGTCCCCCTGGACTGCAAGGAGATCAAATCAGTCAGTCCTAAAAGAAAGCAACCCTGACTGTTCCCTGGAAGGCCAGATACTGAAGCTTGAAGCTCAAATACTTTGGCCACCAAATGAGAAGGGAGCACTCACTGGAGAAGACCCTGATGCTGGGAAAGACTGAAGGTCAAAGAAGGGGACGACAAAGGACGAGATGGTTAGACAGCGTTATCGATGCAACAAATGTGAAGTTGAGCAAACTCCGGAGGATGGAGGACTGGCATGATGTGCTCCATGGAGTCACAAAGAGTCGGACGACTGTGCGGCTGAACAACAAATACTTACTAGCATTTTATGCAGCATGAAACCCTTTAAAATACTTAAGCAGAAGTACCACCTGAAGCAAGTTTTGTCCATATTCCTTGAGAAATGGAAAGTAACCAAATTAGACAGTCATTTACAGTGTGATAAAGACCTACAGCAATTAACTTTATTCATTATCCATTTCACAAATATTTACAAAGTATAATCAAATACTTTTTTTTTCTCCCTAAGAAGGCGTCCCATTCTTTTCACTAATCACGTCAGCATCATAAAGGTCAGCATGTTTTCTTTTATACTGTCAGTATCACCAAGATATTTGAGCTTTGGAAGATGTTTTCTGTTACCAATAGGGTTTAAAATAAAACTTTATTTACAAAACAAATTCACAATTTACAGAGGTCAAATCATGGTTATGAAAAGCATGCATACAAAAAAAAAAAAGATTTGCATGGACTGATTGCTTCTGGGCAGATACACAGATCCTGAACCTAAACTGCAAATTACATGTCTTCAGTCTGGAAAATCTGAAGGTATGTGAATTGTCTGTGAAACAGAGAAAGTTAGCTATACGCCAACATGCTATGCATTCATCCAAGGATTTACAGACAAGATGGCTCATTTTCATTTTGTTTCAAGTTCTTCCAATAAAGACCAGCAGTTTTCCCTCACTTCAAACCACACCTGATAATCTTCAACAGGGCTGTGCAGGAGAGTCTCATGCATATTCAGTGCCAACTAGCCAAGGAGGAGCTGGAGTCTGCCAAGCACTATTTTTTCCATAATCACAGAAAAATACCCCTTGCAACCCAAATGCACTGTTCAGATAATCCTAGACTGAAAGATAATACATTCTTTTATGTCTGCAACCTGGATCCACTAAGCTACTTGACTGAATTGAGTGAAAAACGGATAAAGAAAGAGGTTCTGATCAAGAGAACTCTAGTGTTCCCACACAGTCTAGGTATGAAGGGAACAAAGATATCCTTGAAATTAGGCTTTATTAGGCTTTGTCATATATTATAGCCATTCCATTTTCTCCCACCAGAATAAGTCATATAATATTATAAATAGCCATTCCATTTTCTCCCACCAGAATAGGGTCCTGCATTCTTCAAATGCTGCAGGTAGCGTATATAGTGAACACTAGGTAGTGCTTCCCATGTTCCAGGTAGTTTCAATAACTGAATTACTCCACTCTCAGCGGCTTAGGTGGGAGAAACATTATAGGGGTGAGCTTTTAATAAACTAAAGAACGTCATGGAAAAAGATCTATGCAAGATTCTCAAAACTGAGCACTCCATGACTACAATATCTATCAGGTAAATAGAGGCTTATGGTGATGGAGTGTTAACAATCGTGGCCTGTGCTTTAAGACTAGTATTCGCAAATGTATTTTTATACAGAAACTTTCTTGCATGGCAGAGTAATTAAAGGTTGTGTGTACTACATCAGTTCTGTAGCATGCACACATTTTCAAACTTGGCCTTTCCGTACAAAATACACAGAAGCCAGAATTGCAGCCTTGGCTACTTAAGTGCATTTTAAAGCAAGGGGGAGTCAATCATGAGAACCATGCATGCCTTTCGTAATTGGTATGATGGATGTATGCCTTTGTACTTGGGTAAAAGGTAAAGGTTCCCTTGCTCAAAAGCCAGTCGAATCCGACTCTAGGGTTGCGGTGCTCATCTCTGTTTCAAAGCCGAAGAGCCAGCGCTGTCCGAAGACTTTTCCGTGGTCATGTGGCCGGCGTGACTAAACACCAAGGTGCACGGAACGCTGTTACCTTCCCACTGAAGTGGTACCTGTTTATCTACTTGCAATTTCTTGCTTTCAAACAGCTAGGTTGGCAGGAGCTGGAACTAGAGATAGGAGCTCACTCCATCATGCAGCACACTCGGGTCTTCAACTGCTGAACTACCGACCTTCCACAGCCTGCAGTTCAGCATTTTAACCACTAGAGTCACCACAGCTCCTATTGTACTTGGGTACCTACCGTTAAATACAAAAATATTTGAAAAATGGCCCTATGTCAATTCAGATTCAGCTTGTCCAAAAGAACATTTATCAGAAAAGTACAAAGAAAGAAAATATATACAATTTTTATTTTTACAGATTGGTATGCTTTTATGTCATGCTTTATATAAATCCCTTTTGCTGCTTATTTTCAAGTAATGGCTTACAAGCAAAAACAAAATAAAAGCCAGATAGCTTTACTTAATTAATGCTGCAGACTTTTTAAAAAGCAGTGGTAGTGCACTAAGTTTGGCAAGATGCTTTCCTGCAGTAATCAAATACATTCTGAAGGTTCTACCAGTGCTGCCCTAGGTATATGAAAACAGTAATGTTTGGTGCATTTTTACAAGCAATGATCATTTCAGGGCCAAATCCCACTGTCCGTACTTCTACCAATTTTATGGAAGTCAACAAAACTGAAGCACACAAGTAGGTAAGTGAGATTTGACTCTTGTCTCTACTTGTTTGAGAAGCCAAGTCATCTAAAAGACCATTATTGTAAACAAACATTATCAAAATCTGAGTGCTCGTTTATATCATATTACTCTTTTAAAGTACCACATACTTGCATACAGTTATCATTCAGCAGAGAGGGTGAAACATTGAGAAATGCAGAAGTATTGTAATTTTGAAATAAGTTAGCACACAAATCAATGTGTAGCTTTTACAAAAGTATTTTTCCCTCCCAGCCTAAGTTTTAAGCAGAATACAGTTTGAACACTGTAAACCATTCAACACCATAGCTATAAAAAGTATATATGTAAACAGAACGTATGCTTAAAGCACCATTTACAAAAACACTTAAAACCATTTCTTGTAACAAAGAATGCCAGACTTGGTCATCCTCTCATAGTAATCTTGTGTATCGATTTACATAAGCCAACCAACAGAATGAATTTAGCCTGTAAAGTTTTGCTCCCCAATTTTCCTCAGTTAACAGAAGTTACAGAAACAACTGTAAGGTGCACAAACAAAGGCCATTCATGAAAAGCTGCAAAATCCCAACAGAAGACATTCATTAACTTCTGAAAGAACACACATCCACACGCATTCATTCGTGAATACCCTTTCATAACACATAAGCAACCAGTACAGGGTTCATTTCAGACAGCAGGTATTACAAATGTGGCAACGTACACATGGCATCAAAACATTTTCTTCACTTCCTCACTGCTAACAGAGTTGGGAACATTGGGAGGTCCCACAGCTCAGTGTTAGAGCATGTGCTTTGCATGCAGAAGGTCCCAGGTTCAATCCCCAGCATCTACAGCTGACACCGGCCACTTCCACACAGTCATTTTTGTCACTCGTTTGTCCCTATTGCTTCAAGGTCCTCCCCCCCCCCCCCATTGTTTTTTGCTCTCCAGTAGTCCCACAGGGAGCAAAACACATGTGGAAAAGGGGAGGGAAACCCAAAGCAATAGGGACAAAAGAGTGACAAAAATGACAGTGTAGAAGTGGCCAATATCTCTGGCAGCAGGAAGAACTGCTTCCAATCAGTAGTGTGAAACTAGATGGAACTAACAGACTAAGGCAGTTTCAAATATTCTTTCACCTAGTAACTTGCAGAAACATGGGAATGAAGAGGACACTGAAGAATCAAAAATAATCCCCACATCCTCCCCAAAAGTCAAGTTAACAGTTGACCACAAATACCCAGCATTACTTGCAGCTGCTCCTGTTTACCAAGGCCAGGATTGTCCACAATTTAGTGGAAATAGTATTTTAACTAACTGTAATCTCTCCTCTGAAAAGAAAAAAAATCTCTGGCCTTATCAAAATGGCCACATCAGTTTGCAGTCCTTAAAGAGTGCCCAAGTGCCCTAAATCAATTAGATCTTGTGCTTTAAAAGGACCTTGTGTATTACTGCAAATACTGGTAAAAGGATTTTGAATCATTTCCCCCTTTAAAAAGATCACCCTACTAGTGAATATTCAGAAGTTAGCATGTAACTAAAAGGTAGCAAAAGCAAACTGTATCCATCTATCTCAACTATTTAGGGGTGCAGCGGTAATCCTTGCAATGCCTTTTAAGTATATGCACAAGTCTGTGAAGTTTTAAGTGTCACACAACCTTGCTTAGTGCTATCCTAACACAAGGGCCTCAGGATGATGGGTAAGGAGTTGTGGTACTGGACTGATCTTGTTCTGGAAAACACACACATCATACAGATATCTGCAGATACCACAAACTGCTCTCAAGCATCTATTGGTAAAGGAGTTGGTGGGTGAGATTTTTATGACAAATGGAAGCCTCTTTGCTCATGTGAGGCAATTTTATTGACTTGATTCAAAGTTATCATATGAGCAAAAAGTTGAAAGACCTTTACATTGGTAAGGTATTTACTGTTGTTATATGCAGACTGCCTTTTAATTTAGATCCTTAACCTCATACCTTTTAGGGCTACATCCTGCTTTGGTACATCAGTGAAATGAACCCTAACTTTATACCATCCACACAGGATTAATACAGGATTTAGTGTTTACATAGGAAAACAGATATTTATGTCATTTCTTTTCTTCTGCATTCAAGCTGTTTCTAACAGTTTCCAAGGACATATTCATGGCTGCTTGAAGCATATCTTCTTCACTCATATCACCTCCTAGCAGGAAACAAGATCAATAAGTTTTAGTTCTAAAATTCTGCTGCAAAAAGGAGAACATTAGTTGGTTTCATGTATTTTCATTACATTTTACTGAATTTTATTAATACTCCCATAAATCCTGATAATTTTATTCTTCAAGCATGTGCAGAAGGGAAAAATCAGCACTACTACTGGAATAAAAGTTGACACAATCCAACAAAGGGAACATTTCAAAATCACACTGTAATTATGATTTCGTACATAGGATTACCATGCCAGCAATGTTGTGGTTAGAGTGCTGGGCAGGGATGGGTGCAAATCAGAAAAATATGGTTCATGTTGGTTCATGGACAAACCACAAACTGAATCAAATCAGGAGGTTCGTTTGCAAGCCAAACTGGCTTGTAGCCCCACAAATCCCGTTCAAAAGGACCACAGTCCCTTTAAATGGGGCTTGCAGAAAGCCCGAAATTCAGCTGAACAGTTCGGAGCAGCCTGCTCCTCACCATTCAGCTGTTTTGAGCTTTTCTGTAAAGGGACTACACAAGAAAGCCCGGAAAACAGCTCAGCTATTTTTGCAGCTTCACAGGGAACAGACAGCAAGGGTTTAAAGGGACTCAGAGTCCCTTTAAACCCCTGCTTTCTGCTCTATCCATGAACCACCACAAACTGCTTTAAAAATTCATGGAAGTTCATGATGGTAGACCCATCAGGAACTTCGGTTCGCAAACCACTAACAGGGCAAAATTTATGATGAATTTTGCTTCATGGTTCAGTTTGTGGCCATCCCTAGTGCTGGGTAGGATCAGAATCCCAAGTCCCATTCTGCCATACAAGCTCGCTGGAGGACCTTGGCCTTATCATGCACTCTACTACACAGGGTGGTTGTTGTGTGGATAAAAATGGAGAAGGGGAGAACAATGCTGTAAGCATCTGCATGTCCCCACTGGGGAGAAAAGTGGGGTATAAATATCTAACTTCAATCAAATGAGGCGAGGGAGGAGGAAGCAGACACACAAATAAAAAGAGTATCAGCAAAGTGGTGGGAATGATGGAAGATGGCTGCAGGACGACAAAAAGAGAATCAAGAATGCCAAAGCGTGGCCAACAGAGCACCAGGGAATTAAACAGGCTCATCAATGATAGCTATTACTGCAGACCCTTCTCCTTTTTGCTACATAAGTCAATGTGGACTAAGAGTCTGCTGTCAGAAGCTACCGATGCAGTGGAAGACACACCTTCAGCTCTAAAATTCCCTCTAAGCTGCACAGAGCTGTGAGCAAAAAAGGCTAGTAGCATTAAAGCTGTGAGAAAGTCTAAATTTGACTATCACATACATTCGTTTTTTAGATTTCCATAACCTTGTAAAAATCTCAGAATGAATTCTTTTAAGCTATATTTAAACTATATTTTAAGAGTAGTTTAAATATTTTAAGAGAAAACAGAATCAAGACAAATTTCATTACAGAAAAAGTTGTCCTCTATGGGGGTAAACCAGGCCTCTGGAGAACAGGTCTACCCACCCCTTTTATTGGTAGACCTGGCCTCATGCCGTTGCCCTGCACTGAGCCTTAGAAAACATACCAGCACTTGGGAGGAAAACTCCTGCAGTCTACTTTGTGGGGCTTTTTTAAAGTGAAATATGACAGATTTACAGGTCAAGTATAACAGAGGTGGAACAATCACTGTCAGAACCCTGCCTAACCTAACAAACAGGAAATTGCTTAAGTGTTATCAACCTGCCCAAACTACTTATTTATTCAAGTATTTATATCCTACTTTTGCTGTGACTCAAGGCAGCTTACAAATCATACTGAAAAGCATAATAGGGGTGTGCAAAAATAAATTGATTTTTCCCTGTTCCTAGCCCCACTGCTGGACTTCCTGATGGCACCTGGTATTTTTGGCCGCAGTGTGACAGAGTGTTGGACTAGATGGGCCATTGGCCTGATCCAGCATTGGCTTCTCTTATGTTCTTATAGCCTGTGGGGACCATTGTAGTCAATGGTTCCCATAGGATACAATGGAGAATCAATCCAGGGGTTTCTGAGTTTTCTGAGATAGAGGCACTAAATTTGCAGCACAGCTGCTGGTGCCTCTCCTTAAAACAACCACCAAGTCTCAAAAAGATTGGACAAGGGGTCCAGTTCTATGGGCTCCAGAAGGAGGTGTCCCCATCCTCCATTTTTTCCAATTGGGGGGGGGGGAACTTGTGAGCTAGAAGCTAAAATCTCTGAGCAGCCAGCTAAAATTGTGTGCACCAGTGCCCTATAGCATAGCTTAAAGGGAACACTGGCTACCACACGTATTTTACTGCACCAACAGCCACAACTTATTGAAAACTATTACTCTAGACTGTTTCTCAGTTTATGCAGGAGCTAGCAGTTATAGCAGGCAGCCCACAGGCTGTAACCTATTATTACTATTTCAATTGCTACATGAAGCAGAATCTCCTATCAACTCAAATCAGAAAGACAGAAACAGCCTTTCATGAAAGAGACATTCCCCTGCTTTTCTAGCAAAAACGGAGAACCAATCTGGTAGGAAAATGACCACAAAACAGCAAAAAACAGAATAATATCTACTTTTAGCATGATTGATCAAACTAGTACCTGGATCAGTCCCCAGTACATTTGAACTTGTAGTTGGTACATCATGAAGTTCTTGGTTCTGACATTGCTGATGCAACTGCTGCTGTCTGAAAGAATCAGTCAACGTTAGGTTAAAAAACAATGTGCTAAGATTAAATTATATATAAATTTTAATAGGTATATAAAATAAGGCTAAATCATTATGCAGATATAACTGGTGAGCAGAAGGTCTGGCCCAGGACTTAAGGCGTCACCCGTCCTGGGATTGCTCTTGAAGTCAGGGCCACTGCTGGATAAGCAGGTGGCAACTGGGGCCAGGAGTGCTTTTTACCAGCTTTGACCAGTTAACCAACTGCAGCCTTTTCTGGGCAGAGAAGATCTGGCCACTGTGGTGCATGTCCTGGTTACATCTACATTAGATTACTTCAGTGTGTTCTACATGGGGCTGCTCTTGACAAGTCCACGGAATTTGGAAACTTCAATTGGTAAAGAATGAGGCAGCCAGGATGTTGAGTGGGTCACAGCGACTGTATCATTCCGGTACTGGCTCACCTACACCGGCTTCCAATCTGTTTCCAGGCACATTCAGGGTACTGATACTGACCCTATATGGTTTGGGACCAGCATATATGAAGGACCGCCTACTTCCTTATGAACCTACTGGACGGCTACCATCATTTCTCAAGGCCCTGCTTCTGGTGCAACCACATTCTGAAATTAGGCAGGTGGCAATCCAGGACAGGACCTTTTCACTTGTGGACCCAAAACTCTGGAACTCTTTCCCCAGATAGACTCGCTTCTCTCCTTCTGTTGCTGTCTTCTGCCAACGTGTAAAGGTTTTTTGCTTTGTTTGATGCTCCCTCAGTGATCCCTCTTTCCTGCTCTATGTTTACTTGTGTTGTTTTGGGGCACATATTTTAGCTTGGTTTTAATTGTTTTACTGGTGTGTTTTTGTTTGGTATTAATGCTTTTTAAAAATTATGTATATGTTTTAATCTGTTAGCTGCCTCGGGGGTCCTGACAGAAAGGCAGGGTAGAAGTACTGTAAAAAAATAATTGCAGACCGTCCCCCCTCCAGTTTTCTTTCCACATGGTCTTAGTTGTGCCTTTTCCTGTTCAACATTCGAGCAGGACAAGTGGGAGACCTGCAAAGTGGGTGTGTGTGTGTCTCATTCTCTCTCCCCCCTTGCTTTTCCTTTTCCTCGGCCCCAGCAGCACCTGTACCCCCTTCAGCATCCCCTACCCTTCTCTCCCACCCACCTATTTGCATCTTTGTTCCCCCACTTCAGCTTTCTCCCAGCACCCCCTCCCCCTTCAGTATCTCCTTTTTCCTCTACTCGTCCCCCCCCCATCTTCAGCTTTCCCATTTTGCCTTTTGTGTACCACCACTTCCAAATTTTCCTTCCCTGCCTATTTCACCTTTACCTTCTCTGAACTGACAGTAACAGAGGCTTGGAAGCCTTGGCAATGGGATCAGGTGTTGCCTAACAACTCCCCAAAACACCACCAAGATCTCACAACATAGACTTGTGAGATCATTGCAGTATTTTTCCTTAAATAATCCAACATTTCTACAATGATTAGGATCCCCCTCCCTGGGTTTGTATTTTTTACATTTCATACTTTTCTGCAAACCTTGGACTTCCTTAGGCTTGTAAAAGACCCTCCTCCCCTTTATATATGGTGCCACTGAGGACATTTTTAAATCTGCACTCTGGGAACAACATTCCAAATTAGATACATCCATGTATTAAGAATATTAGCTAATAGCTTTGCAATTATAAGCTGTCGTAAGCATGTTAGTTACCAGTCCACTGAATCAGAGAGCTGGAGGGAGCTTTACATGCCATCTTATCCAACCCCCCTGCTTAACCTCTCTCATAGGTTTTCCAGACCCTGGCCATCTTTGTCGCCCTCCTCTCAACCTGTGCCAGTCTGTTTACATCCTTTTAAAAGTGTAGTGACTAGACCTTGACAGTGTAGTCCAGAATAAAAGTCGACTAGCCCAGAATCAAGAAAATATATGAACCTGCCTTATACAGAGTCAGATCGATTTGTCTGTCAAGGTCAGTATTCTCTACTCTAACAGTGGCTTCCCAGGGTCTCGAGCAGAGGCCTTTCACATCATCTGTTACATGATTCTTTTAACTGGAGATGCGGAGGATCTAACCTGGGACCGTCTATGTGCAAATGATCTACATGCCGATGTTCCCCCAACAAGCCACGGCCATTCTTCCTTCATCCAGAAAACCCAACATGGGGCTTAAACCCAAGGCCCTGAGATTAATAGTTTCATTTCCTACAGGCTGAGGGGGTTGAGCAACTCCGCTTACAGCTGGAGGACCTGAAGGAATGGTGGCACCATTCCTTCTTGTGACTTGGCTACTTTCATTAACAGAGACTACAGCTACATTCACTATTTTTGCAGCTGTATCACTCCGTCAATTTGTGTTCAGCTTGTGAACAGGTGTACTCCCAAGATCCTTTTCACATATACTATCACTTTCTTCATGGCCATTTTTCACACTGTCCTTCAGAAATCTCCTTTTAGATATGTATTTTCTCTGAACTGAGACACAACCATCAAGCAAAACCTTAGGTAAACAATTCTGAAGGCTAAGAGTAAAGACATATGAACTTGTTTGTACTGGTGTTCAGAGACTTTGAGCAGAAAACTTTGTTATGTTCTTCAACTTCAATAATACACACTTAGCTATAGACAACTGATGGTAGAGCTCTTCTCTGGTAGAAGAAGCCTCTTCTACCCAAGAAAAGCAATGCCACCAGTGGAATGGAGACCTTGGATACATCCCATTGGTAAGTAGTTCTTAAAAGTGATTTGCATCTTTAATATATCTTGGCATGTTTGTGACTGTATTGATTTGATCTGGGATGCAAGTACAAAAAACAGATCACAAAAATATACCAGGTCTCTTCAGTCTTCCTCTGTGCTACAGAGGCATATGAACAATAGAAGTACATGATCAGTTTGACAATTCTTTCCTTGTGCAAATACTTACTTGAATGATCATGGTTGTCGTGGAATTTCCACCAATTCCGCTTTCCTCCACAACCTCCCCCTACTATGCCATATCCCAAACCATTCCTTAGTGTCCCCTTACCCTCTTCCATGAAGTCAGGGCATGGTTTTTGGGATACAAGTCACTGTATAAACAGTTGTCTGCAAAAGCTGCACCTTTCAAAGTCCATTCAAGTTAAGGACCTTCGAAGGGTGCAATTCTGCCCTGCCAGACATACGATACGGTATACACACATTCCAACATACACACGCCATTACTTTTCAAAATAGGCTTGTCTTCTCCTTCGCAGCTCTTCTGACGTAAGAGATTCAGACTGATTTGTTGTAGCAGAGTGTGGAGTGTTAAGGGAGCAAGAATCTGACAAGCCAGTCCGATGGTTGCCTAAAATTAAAACACACGTATACATGCCATTAGTGTGACAGACCGAGTTCAAATAAGGACAACAAACGGTTCTTGATCAGGTATGATCAGCTCTAAATTACTGAAGTGGAGAGATGGTGGGCCATTAATAAAACTGCTCAGAGTTCTCCTTCAGCATAACAAACTCTCTTTCTTAGGACATGGCCCTTCTTTTGAACGATGAAACTGATGGTCCCGTGCATCCCCATGTCGGAAGGCAAGAAGCACCCTCCATCATGCCTAGATTCAAGTTAACTGAGAATCTCCTCTCCAGCTGATGTTGATGAGGCCATCAGAAGGGGGTCGTGGACCTGACTCTAGCTGAGGACCCTGCCCCTGAGGAATATTTTATACTAAACTTGGATATTTTGTATGGGCTGCCAATTACTGTGAGCCACTTTGGGGACTGGTCTTTGGCTGAAAAGTAGTATGAAAATTAACAAAACATCCACAGCGCACATACATAGTGCTTCAGGTCAGGCTGTTCCCCTGGCAGTCCTTATGAAGAGTGCAGATCCAACATGGAGCATCTAGCTTGAATAGGTGGTTTCTCACTCTCAAGCATAGGGGTACAGGAAGAGGCATTTGTCCAGTCCACAGAAAACTCCACGACCATATGCTGCAGTGCCCAAGTGGAAAGATGGAAAAGGTGTTGCAGAGACATGCCCATACAGTGGCACAAAGGTACATGTCATGCTACTACACCCCCCTTTGCATTGGACTGCAACAACAATCTCTCAATCGGGGGTTATTTTCAATTATTTCACATGCACACATGAAGCTTCCTTAGTCCATATGTCTGACTAGGTATATCAGGGTCAGCATCGTTTACTCAGACTGGCAGCAGCTCTCCAGGGTCTTAGGCAGAGGTCTCTCACATCATCTACCCACCTGATCCTTTTAGCTGGGCGTGCCAGAAATTGAACCTGGGACCTTCTGCACATAGACAGATTCTCTGCCACTGAGCCATTACCCTGACCCTATCCCAGAAGGAACAAAACACCACAGTGGAAATCTGTTAGAAAACAAGCAGCAGAAAATAAAATTGCAGGTTCTAAAAATTCTAATAAATATTTAGTTGGCCAGATGAAATGTCAATTCCTAGGAAAGGTGAAGTACCTCACAATACAATCCTATGCAGCATTAGTCTCAATACTAGTCCTACTCACTGAAATTGACCAGGGTAATTCTGCACAGGTTTGCACTGTATTTGCATGTCTATTCCATACAAAGTGATGGATAATGGAAAGCATAAACAACAGGACTAAAATTACATAAAATTTAAAAGCAGAATTTTACCCTGCATACTTAGTTGAATGGCTCTACGGAGATCAGCTTCTTCATCCTCCATATCAATTTCTTGTCTGCTGAGAGCAAGAGCTTTTTGGAAGTTCTCTTCGTCTTCATCTAACATGCCTGTACCATCAAACGGCTGGCTAACATCTAAGGCTTGTTCGAGGTCTGCTTTTTGTACTCTGGAAAGATAAAAGATTTTATTTCTTGTGTCACGCTGAAGAATAAAGAGTTTTGCCAAATTTTCAAACTCATGGAAAATCCTTTTGCACAATCTTTTTATGTTATTTTTAAGTTCCAGTTTTAAAGAGGACAAGACATTAGAATTTAAACCATGCAGACATCTTACTTGCTCACAGAAGGCTGGCTTGGCTCACTAATCACAAGATTCACCAATGAAGTTCTTCCCTCTTAGCAGTGACCTCAACTGTGAGATCTCACTCCCTCTTTTAATTAAAGACACAACTTAGCTGCCCCCCTTCTAAAGACTGTATTATTCTACAGACTCCTTCCAATCCTAGCTGACAAATGTGGGAGACATTTGAGTGGAATTTGTGCTCCAAATCAAGAGTTCTGATGAAGCCTTATTACACTACAGCAAATAGGGAGAGTCGTACTCCCGCAGGAGAGACTAGACAAAACCTTTTTAGTCGTAGCCTACGGGAGCACATGGAAAAAGAAATTCACATAAGGGTACCTTCCTGTACTGGTAAGAATCTACAATACAAAACAAAATTCAGAATGTGAGGTAGCTAATAATAGGTGTGATACAGCACAGCTATTACATTCTATAGACGTCTCTCAGCAAAGGTGTGATGTCAGAAGAAATACTCAGTGGGGTCATGGACAGACTCTTTGGCACAACCTCCTTGACTTGAAATCCTCATTGCAACTATATTCACTTGGTTTCTCTTTGGCACAACCCCCTTCACCTGGTTATCTTTGGTAGAACCCCTCCACTCGAAATCTTTGTTACAGCTATAGTCACTTAGCTATCTGTAGCAACATGTGTTAAGAGTAATGACCATGTTGAAAAACAGCTTATCTGCCACTGTACTGAAACTATTACTGGAAGATGTATTTACTGTTGGTGTCATATGAGCCTTCCTACAGGCACCCATGTTCTCAAATATCCCATACAGCAGTGTGCAACAGACACTGTGGGATAAGCCTGAATACCAATTTGAGTACCATGTCTCTCTAGGTTACATATAGCACCAGCATAGACAAACAGAAGGTAAAGATGCACTTCAAGCTACCTCTTACTACCTTCTGTTGCCTCCTACAAAGCACCCATGCTTACATCCAGGATTTAAGTACTCACAATCAACATGCAACAGTTATTAAAATACAAGTTTTATTTACCTTACCTCTGATCTCTTGATTGCAGTGTGTCTTCCCCAATCAATTTTGGCCTCTGCATCTGCTGTACCCAAATCATTTGCAATAACTGATCGGCCTCACAATCTGGTAAATCGCCCTTTACAACAAATATAGAATAACCTGAGGAAAAATAAAAGCAAGATTTAGGAGACTATCAATAATAATAATAATGGCATGAAGTAAAGAGGGAGGTTGTGTTAAGTGACAATGGGGGAAGAAGAGAGAGAAAAATAGTAATTTAAGTGCCATTCACCAGTACTGTGCAGTTCTGTTTCCCTTCATTTTACTTGGTGATTTCATAGCTTTGTTCATGAAATTGAGGAAAAGAGGCTTCAAGCATGAACAGTGGTTGACCTTCTAATTCTACTGTGCTTTCAAGTAATAGCATTCACTGTCTGAAAGTCAGCCTTACCTTCTTGTTGTAACTGAGCCAGGAAAAGTGCAAGGTAAGTATCAGATATTAGTTCTGGACCCGTCAAAAGAGAGTTCAAGTTGAACCACTGTAATTTAAAAAAAAGAAATTCAAACCAAGGCAATTAACAAGGAAGTTAGTCAATAGTCCAGCTTTGTACCCAGGAAGACACCTAATCACTGTCCTAGCAACTGCTATACAAGGCACACATTTCTTTCAAGCCCAAATAAATGGATTGTATCCAGAATAACATGCCTGTGGGCACAAGGACTTCCATCCCTGGAGTGTGACCCCCCCCCCCAAGCAGCCCACAATGCTCCCTCAAATCCTTTTCACCAGATTTCAGCGGGCTTTGGGGGCTGCTGCAGGGGAGGAACAATGCAGGCTATGGAAATATTACCCTGGATCCAAGGCTGACTATCACCTTTGAAATATCTAGGAACAGTAAGGTTGCTACTCTGTCCCACAAAGAAAACCTATATAGTATTCAATTGAACAGATGTGAGTGATTAAAGATGGCTGAAACAGACCCTTCCTTGCAAGTAGCTAATCAAAACGCCTAGTTTCTTCCTGGTTCACTTCCAGTGAATATTGGTGAACTGTAATGGAAGCTTTAGTATTGGGCATGGGGGAACAGGATTACCTCACAGGATGTCTGTTGTGGGGAGGGGAAGGGAAAGGAGTTTGTAAGCCGCTCTGAGACACCTTTGGGTAGTGAAGGGCGGGGTATAAATCCAATCTCCTCCTCTTCTTCTTAAGTAGTATCATGTGTACATGGGAGAGAACTGCAAATGTAGCCAGTAGCTGCTCCTGGTGGAGGAGTTTCTGTTGCCACAAACATAAGCTACTTTGAAAATGCAACAATTGCTGCAACAGGAACACCAAGCAAATATCCCAGGTGCTTTTCTTCAGCAGACACCTATCATTTCTTTGGGTTAGGTCCCTAGTGTGCTGAATAGACCACCCATGGAGGAATCAGTTACAGTACTGTGGACTGACAATGCAATCCTATGCATACTCCAGTCTATTAATGGGCTTAGTTCCTAGTAACTGTGCATAGGATTGAACTGGCAAAAGTCACAGTCCCCTTAAAAGCCCCCTCATACTACCCATCTTATTTGCATTGTCTTACTCAGAGGAATGATTATGATTTATGGAGTGGCTAATACAGTGCTCAATATCGTACAAGATAAAATGACTGATCTTCGACGTGGTCTCTGTGCTTCACACCCATGGGATCTAGTGCGCACACGCTGGATCGATCGGTGCTGTAGCAAGCTCTTTTAACAGATTTTTGCGCCCAATCCCTCGGGCATGCGCAGGAACCCCACCGCGCATGCCCAGAGGGGTGGGCGCGGACATCCCGCCAGTTCCTTTCTTACCGCCGCGTTGAGACCACCTATTTTTCGTCGGTCAGATCGGTTCGCTTTTGGCTTTCGCCTCACAGCTCTTAGGAATTATTTCCTTATTTTAATTTTCCTCTCTTTTCTCTTTTTATTTGTTTGTTCTTAAAAAAAACATTTATTTTCTGCTGAGGGGGAGTCTACGATTACCTCAGGCCTTCGGGCTACCCCCCCCCCCCAAACGTCCCCTCTTCTTCGCTTTCTTTTATGGAGAAGAAGTGGGGTTTTTTCAATAGGTGCAAGGGTTGCGGCAGCAAACTTGCTCCTCCCGACCGTCATACTCTGTGCATTTTTTGTCTCTGAGAGTCTCACCAGCCAGAGTCCTGTCGTCACTGCGCTCGTTTTTCTAATCAAACGTGGAAAAACCGAGCTGCGCGCCTTAAAGTAGCGCTGCTTGAATTGGCCCTTACTCCTACTTCAGCGATGGAGGAGAGACCATCGACATCGACAGCTCCAGCATCGAGACCTGCCTCCGATGCCGACCGCCCGACACCGAAGCTCCCGGCATCGACGGCGCAATCTTCCACTTCCACACCAATCAAAAAGAAGGCCAAGGCAAGCAAGGATCACAAGTCCGCGAAGAAGGGCACCTCAAAGTCCCTTAAGACGGCGAAGAAGGGGAAGGAAGCGGTGCTTGCACTGGGTGATGCCCCTAAAGTGCCTCCCACTCCAATGGCAGTATCGATATTGGAGGCTCAAGTCCCTCCACCGATACCGACCATCCAACTATTGGATTCCCCCATCCAACAAGTGGAGCGTCCATACTCCGACATCGAGACGGTAGAGCTCCTAAGTCACCAGATGAGTGCTGAGCCTTCTCCCTCTCCTTCTACTTCATCGGGATCAATGATATCGGAGGCTTCCGATGTCGAA